ACATGTCCAAAATTGGCCTCTTGAGTTTTCTCCACATGCTTCCCCACCTTCAGTCTTTCTCATTCCTGTAAAACATTATCTATGCAGCTGCATAAGCTGAACCCTGGATTATTCCAGTTATCACTCTGACCTTTAGGCCCCCATCCAGCCCACCACCCAAGCCTGAGTCTACTTCCAGAATATAGCTAGAATCCACCATTTCTCTAGCTGTCAGCTGCTGCCACCTCATTCCAAGCCAACAATCTCCTCTCACTTGAATTACTGCCATGATCTTTCTCCTGTACTCCCGCATGCCTTTAATTCGTTCTCCACAAAGCTGCCTGAATTGTTTTTAAAAAAACAAATTACGTGACTTTCTTCTCTCAGCCCTTTGATGACTTCCTGTTGCAGTAGGCTCTGGTGATCCTGGATGGCTACCTTTCCAGCCCCACCTTGTCCCTCTGGCCTTCTGCCAGGGCCTTCAGTGGCGGTCCTGGCTTTTCTGCCTTGGGGCTTTTGAGCGCACCATCCTGGATCTGGCTCCATCAGCCATCCCTGAGATCTCAGGTTAGATGTTCTCCCTCCCAAAGGTCTTCCCTGACCCCCTACACCGAAGGTGGCCATCCTGGTTATTCTCTCTTCCAGTACCAGGCTCTTTCCCTTCATTGCACCTATGCCAGTTTGCATTTATAGTCATTTTTGTCCAAATTTGTTAAATGTCTGGCTCAGTGACTCAAGTATATCAGACCCATCCCCCTTTTAATAATGAATATTTCTCTTTTACTTTCCCTCAAATGAAACCTACAGGTAATATAACCTCTCTATACACATAATTTTAAATCAGTAGTAATATTTATAGCAGTAATATGAAGGAGAAATAAAAATAAAGTAACTTATAATAAAAATATTTATGTCAGTATTAAATTCCTAACTTACAAATCATAAAGAAGTAGTCCAGTGCCTACACCTGTGGGTGGAATTACTGTGAAGGCAACAGTGGCAAATGTTGGCTGGTACAGTTGTGTTTTATTGGCAGTTCAGATTCTAGTTCTAGAGGCAGTGTTGCCAGTGGTGTACGATCTTCTACAACAGGAGCAACTCCTGTAATGTTTTGAATAAAATAAAATGCAGTCTACCTTTTCCCTTCAGTTTGTGCTGAAATTACCTTTCTAGAAAATTCATTAAAGCGGTGCAAAAAAGGCACTTTGTGCCTTTATAGTAACAGAGTCAGGTCCTAGGTTCAGGTAACTATAAAAGGGTTTTTCATATTTATCAACACCTAGCAGTACACCCACAAATCAGGAGGCACCTGGGACTGTTTTTCATTACACAGTTTACATAGTACCCTGGCTCCCACCCCTAAAGGTCAGTAGAGTTCCCCATTCATGTTCACAATCAGAACTACCCCCAACATTTCCAAAATGTCCCTCTACATGTAGAGTAGTACTTCCCTTATTGACAGGCACTTGCCTGTCCTCTTTCATGCTGCGCACTCCCCGAGAGCACGATCCGTACACAGTTCTCGGCACCTAGCTGGCAGGTGTTATTGGAATAAATGAATGAGTGAATATTCCATCAACATGAGATTTGTGCCAAAAAAGTCAGAAAAGGAGTATCTTGCACGGCAGTGTGACCTGACATTTATCTTCGTCTGCATGCCTTAGGCCAGCTGACCTGTTTTAGTGAAAGAGACTTGTAATTATAGCTCCAGACAAGGTAGAATTGCAGCTCTGAATTCTTCACAATGAAAGAAGTCATCTCACTGTGCACAAAAGAAAGTGCACTGGCTCTGAAGTTGTGGTTTGTCTGTTTTTGGAAAGTCAGGCTTGTCTGTTGAAGAGCTCAAAACACTTGACCAGCTCTCTCATTTATCTTAACATGTGTATGCTATATTTATTCTCCCTTCACAGATGGAGAAATGCAGCTAGCCGAAAGGCCATATTTAGCTAAGTCTTGATCCTCTGTCTTGTGGGGTCAGCTTAAATAAAACAGAATCCTAAAACTTGATTTTTATCCAGTAGTTTGAACCTCCTCCCACATTAAATCTGTTACTAGGGCTGCTCACAAGGGTAAAAAGTGTTAGTTGGTGCATTTTTAACCGTGTGACATGGTGATCTAGTTCAGTCCTCCTTTTAGAGATGAGGAAGTGCTGGTTCACAACAGCACGGTTAGATCACCGCAGAACGAGTTTCTCTAGCTGGTTGTCGTTCTGCTGCACCACATTTAAATGTTCTCTCCTTTTTCTCCAGCCAGTCTAAACATGACTTTGATCAGTGAGGTAGTCAAAAGTAAGATAGTGATGGAAAAGAAGCCAGAGATCTGGTCCATTAGCTCTCAAATAATTGTGAATTGGGGGACTGACTGACTATATGAAGATGACAGTTGCTGAAAATTTGAAGCTAAACCTTCAATTTCAATAATTATTTTTAATAAGAGCTAATAAAGTCAGTGTTTTATGAATAACCATTTCACAACCAAAAATTTTTAAAAAAGGAGAAGGGGAATAAAAGCCAAGTATCTGAAGTTTTAGAGAAGCAATTACCTCTTAATGTCAGTAAAAAACAAACAAACAGCAAGTGTCAGTTTAAAAAAATTTTTCTCCTCCTCAAATTTTCTTTAACATTAATAGGAGGTGTTAGACAAATTCAGTAAACTCATCTCTGGTGCACTTTGAACCAAGCTTACCAGAACGCTCCCCAAAGGGACCCAATCCAGCCTCCTTGAAAAACAGAGTTATTTTTAAGGCAGTGAAGTATGATTTTCACTTCACAGAGTTAAATACAAAATGAATTCAAAAGTGACAAAAAAGACAACACAAACACAATGAAGCTTCATAGACTATTACCAAGAATTACTGTAGAAATGTTTCTAATATATGTTTGATTTATGACAGAACACCTTAATCGTCAGAAGCGAGCTGCAGCCATGTGGCCTCTTGGCTTCTGCATAGCACCCCGGGGGGGTCGGAGTGTTTCAAGAGCCATGCCCAATACTTATTTGGGGCTTCTTACTAGAAGCAGATGTTTCAGATGGATATCCCCACTGTGTGCTCTGCAGGTGATAGACTTCTCCTTCATGTGCTGCAAGCCACCAGTTGTCAGGGGCATTCTCACTTAGTTGTCTTAAGTTTTATATTTCTCTTACTGTGGTCAGAAGTTGTTTCAGACTTGGAAGTCTGGGGCTTGTCTGTAAAAGAATTACTGTATTATTTCTCCTCCTGTGTTGTTTCAGAGGAAAACATGTAGGTTTTGCTAAATAACTATTTCCTAAGTCAAAGTAACATCTTGGATTATTTGGCAGTATAATACATTCCTATAGCTCTTCAAAGCAACTGCTACTGACATTCTCCAGTTAGCTTATAGGGAAACTAAGCCTTTAAGAAACAAGTGACTTGACCAAGGCCCATTGCAAGTAGGTCATCTCTGTGCGGATCCTTCCTCTGTAAGGCACAATGCCAGTGCTGCCTCCTCTAAGGCTTTTCTTAGCGTCCCCTAATTACCGTAATTCTCGGTATTTGCCATATTCTGACCGTAATACAGTGTTCACATGTATTTGTCTTTACTGTGAGCTCCCTAAGAGCAGAGACTGTTACAGATGTTTGTGTCTTTCCCTGCCTATCAGATGCTCCCCGCTGGGGCTAACCTTGTGCATGTGCCCACATCAGCACTGAAGGCTCTTCTCCTCTAGCCTCTGGCTTTGAGGTCTGTGAGGCACTGGTTAGGTGCACAGGCCCTTTGTGGCAGCCACTGATCATTTGAACTTGTTGCCTTATTTTTGATGTACAGACATCTTATAGGAGAGCTTTGCAAATGTTTGTAAGTGGTTTTATAAGCCAAATATCGTCTGAACCTTGTCCTACCTTCACATCCCTGATGATTGCACTTGGCACCATTCTGGGCACGTAGGAGGTGCTTATTAATGTTTCTTGGATTGAGCATTAATATATTCATCCACTCTAGTTTACGCTTTTCTTTCTCCCATATATATGACTATATACATATTTTTTTTTAAATTTTTTATTAAGGTATGATTGCTATACACTCTTATGAAGGTTTCACCTGAAAAAACAATGTGGTTACAACATTCACCCAAATTATCAAGTCCCCACCCATACCCCAATGAGTCACTGTCCATCAGTGCAACAAGTTGCCAGAGATCTACTATGTCCCTTCTCTGTGATACACTGTTCTCCCCGTGATCCCCACACCATGTGTACTAAACATAATACCCCTCAGTCCCCTTCTCTCTCCCTCCCCACCCGCCCTCCCACACCCCTGCCCTTTGGTAACCACTAGTCATTCTTGGAGTCTCTGAGTCTGCTGCCATTTTGTTCCTTCAGTTTTGCTTCATTGTTGTACTCCACAAATAAGGGAAATCATTTGGCATTTTTCTTTCTTCGCCTGGCTTATTTCACTGAGCATAATGTCCTCCAGCTCCATCCATGTTGTTGCAAATGATAGGATTTGTTTCTTATGGCTGAATAGTATTCCATTGTGTATATGTACCACCTCTTCTTTATCCATTCATCTACTGATGGACACTTAGGTTGCTTCCATATCTTGGCTATTGTAAAAAGTGCTGCGATGAACATAGGGGTGCATATGTCTTTTTGAATCTGAGAAGTTGTATTCTTTGGGTATATTCCAAGAAGTGGGATTCCAGGGTCAAATGGTATTTCTATTTTTAGTTTTTTGAGGAACCTCCATATTGCTTTCCACAATGGTTGAACTAGCTTACATTCCAACCAGCAGTGTAGGAGGGTTCCCCTTTCTCTGCATCCTTGCCAACATTTGTTCTTCTTAGTCTTTTTGATGCTGGCCATCCTTACTGGTGTGAGGTGATATCTCATTATGGTTTTAATTTGCATTTCCCTGATGATTAGTGATGTGGAGCATCTTTTCATGTGTCTGTTGGCCATCTGAATTTCTTCTTTGGAGAACTGTCTCTTCATATCCTCTGCCCATTTGTTAAATTGGGTTATTTGCTTTTTGGTGTTGAGGCATGTTAGTTCTTTATATATTTTGGATGTTAACCCCTTGTCGGATATGTCATTTACAAATATAATCTCCCATACTGTAGGATGCCTTTTTGTTTTGTTGATGTGTGTGACTATCTTTTTATAAGTGTATGCCTTGAATTCCCAACTCTTTTCTTTGTGTGTATGTATCTGTAATACATACAGCACTATCTTCCATGCAACCTGATGTCAGTAGATCTTTCCTTATTGACTTAAATGACCAGTGCCGGATAGCATTCCAGGTAACAAAGTATGACAAGGCCTACACCCTCCTGAGTGGTTTTGCTTAAAGTATATGTTTGAAGAACATATTTTAACTAGGCATATACATCCTAAAAACATGCATTTTGAACAGAATTCACAAATGCAGGAGGGAGCCCAGGTCTACACAAAGGAAACAGGGTAGTGCAGATATAGGGGTGCTCAGGGGCACTGCTGGCTGAGCTGTACATAAAAAAGGCAGTTTCCTCACTGATTGGCACTGGCTACAGCTCTTTGCATTACGCGCAGGCCTTTAGTTTCCTCACAGAGCACATTTCTTTGTTCTCTTATCATCTGCAGATTCTTGACAGGTTGTAAGCGCTGTGTTTTACAGGGGTTAAGGTTGTCATCATCACAGATCAAGGACTCCTGGCAAGAATGGAGAGTTAATCACTAAGCAACCAGAACACACTTTAAAAAACTTTAAATTTTATATCTCTGGTTCTTAGCCAGTCAGTAAGAAGCTAACATTTTACTAAGCAGTCCAACCATTCCATTAACCGAACCCACCATTGTTTTTCATGGTTTTGAGGTAAGGCATGTTTCTCTCTTCCTGAGAGCGTTCCAGTTACCATGCTGAAATATTTAAATATCTACTCTTTTTTAAACTAAAATATAATTGACTTGCTAATTAAGAGGACACAAGAGAATTGGCTTTAAAAAGTTCTGATTTCGGTGAGTGGCTATTTAAAAGTAAGGGCAGTTGCTCCACATTTTGTCATCAAATTGAAAATACACAGCTGGAGATGAAAGTGTCAGCATGCTTGGCTTATTTATCCTCAAATCCAAATCTTCCTTTCACATTGAGTTCATTCAAGATACTTCACAGGGGTTATAAACAATTTCTTATGACACAGGGTACAGTATGCACAGGGGATAATTTATTCTTTTAATTTGCTGTCTGTTATTAAGCTTCTAATTACTCAGGCTGGATGAAAGCAGAAAGGTCTCATATTAATGGCAGTTATTTAGGTGGAGACTATAGGCAGGAGGAGTTCATTTTAGATAGTTCAGACTTAGAAACACTTCTTTCCAAGGAGTTCTAAACACACTTGTCTTTGTTTTGATAATTTGTGACCCAAGTCCATCACATTTTAATTATTCCAACAAAATCTGTAATTTAACAAATGTCTAGAATGATTAATTTCCTTCCTTTGTGCCCACATGTCTCTCACTGAAGAAGTTAATATTCACTTTGGTTATGAAAGGAATCCATACAACAAACTTATGTTCTGTAGAATATTTGGATTTAATATTATTAAGCACTTCTAGAAACCTTTGCATTCACTTACTTTTTATTTCTTGTAATACCTTTCTAGAGCAAGAGTACATACACATTCTATTTTCCTGATGAGACAAATTTGCTTGAGAAGTAAAGTTTTCATTAAAAAATATAACTTGATTTTTTTCTGGGGGGGTGTTACATTTTATATAGTCTTTAGGGTCTTGAGTTCCAGAATGACTAATTAGTATAATAATAATATAGCATATTCTATTTTATTACCCTGAAAATTATACTGCCCTCAAGAGACATCAGTTTGATTTGTGAGTTTTAATGCCAGTGTAGAAAACTTTTTTTCTCACTAAAGGAGTTTCTTCTCTGTTGTTGGAGAAAGATGCAAAGTTAGGACAGATGTAGGACTGATGGGAAGCCTGCTTGGATTTGCAGAGGATTAGGAGAATGTGTTTCCTGTGGGATGAGGAATTTATGTGAAAGCAGTGGAAGAGTTCTTTTATGTGCCTGGCAATATGCTAAGAGCTTTAGTTTTATTATTTCATGAATTCCTCATAAACCTATGAGATAGTATCCTCAAGTCTAATTCTGTGAAAATTGGATGTTGAAAATTGGATGTCTACATATGGATGAGGAGGTATTCTTAAGAAGAGCATCCCATTCCCTGACCATGCTAAGTGTAAGTTTGCTCAGGAACATTGAGTTGCTAGTAGAATGCTGAGACTAATGCTGTCCCTTTATTTCCCCTTATGGACATGTAGTTTTTGAAACAGGTAGTAGAGTACAGAAAGTGTATTGAAGGCACCCAGTCATACTAGTAAACATTCAAACTCATTTTTTAAAACATATTTTTTATAGTAATTCTCTTATTAGAGTCACTGGCTGGGGTGCAACCTTTTTCATTTCCACCCTATTTGATTTCTTCATTAATACTTTCTTAGCACCAGAGCAATGCTTTATTCAAAATCAATTAGAGGCCTCTTTTAAAAATAAAGGGCAGAGAGGGTTGAGGATTGCATTTCCCCCTCTTCCTGTAACAGCCAGCACCTGAGAATTCTTTCAGTTCCCCCAGCTCCAGACTGTAGGTGTGCCTTTTGAAAGCATCACAGAAAAAGAGAAGGATTAATTCCAAAGTCATGAGTTTGGGACATTTTTTTAATAGGCTTGAGTTGAATGTTACATTAAGAAAAATGTTAGAAGACATGAAAGGAATTCACGTTCCATGAGGAACAACTCTACTGTTGAAACTGAGTGGAGGACGTTTTAATATTCCTTTAGTTCCACATTCAGGTAGTTCTGGCCAGTGACATGGGTCATTTAAGAGGGGTGGTGGCCTAGGCCATAAAGAAAGTTTCTTGAAATCAGATGAGAATCTATCGACAACAAAAATGAAATCCTGACTCTGTTCACTCACTAGGATATAAATAAACAGAATTTTGTGTCATGGGAAATAGTCTAAGCCAAACAGGATTTTCACTGCCTTGTGTGATAAATACTGAAACAGCCATCAATAAATGGAACTCAAAGTAGCAGTTTAAGATTATATGGTAATCTAACGTATCCTGGTCTGGAAAGATCTCCAGGACATACTGAAGGGTGCAGATAACATAGATTACCCAATCCCCACTATGTACAAATGTTCAAATATGTACAGTTATAAGCAATACATACATAGAAAAAGGCCTGGAAGATACAAATGAAAACATCTACATTTTAGGAAGGGAATAAAAATTGGGGAAAAAAGGGATTTTTGAGGATTTACTCTATATGTTTTTAGCTTTATATTTTTACACATACATATAATTAAGAAAACTATATAAACAGGGAAAGCACAGATTCAAGGTCTCAGTGAAGATATACAGTGGGTAAGGCGTAAGTTCTGGAATGAAACTGTCAGGGTTTGAATCCCACCTCCTTTACTTACTGGCTATACATCCTTATACAAGTTATTTTAATTTCTGGGCCTCACTTCACTCAAATGCAAAACAGTCATAATGGTACTTAGTTGTTACAAGGATTAAATAAGTAATACATGGGAGAGAATAATGGATTAGTACCTGACACAGAGTAAACATTCAGAATATGTTAGTTATTACAAATTATAATACTTAGACAGCATCCAACTATAATTAATTCTTTGCTTAAACTTTTCAGTTAAAAATGTTTCTGGTGATAGCTTTAGTAATCACAATGTATTTCCTGAAGTTTTATCATAGTTGTTAGTGATATTGTCATTTTTTTACCCCACTAGTAACTTTAAAAGGAAGAATAACAAAGAACAGTGAAATTATCTTGTTTTATGTAGAGTACCATACACATTCCATTTGTGGACTATGGGCTGACTTTGCATCTTTGACCATGTAATCTAATGTACATATTACTAAAGAACTGTAAATGGAAATAACGAGGATTTTCTTTCTTCCTTAGGAAGACTATGATCGTCTGAGGCCTTTATCTTATCCAATGACTGATGTCTTCCTTATATGCTTCTCTGTGGTAAATCCAGCCTCATTCCAAAATGTGAAAGAGGAGTGGGTACCAGAACTTAAGGAATATGCACCAAATGTACCCTTTTTATTAATAGGAACTCAGGTATGGCTGCTTTGATTTTATCCATTTAAGAATCATCTTTCTGGCTTATCTTGTGGTGTTGGGCTAAGACAAATGGTACTGAAGTTTAACAAATGATGTATGTGTTTAATCTCAATTGCAATTTACAATCAGTTCTATTACATTTTTGGAAAAAGTAGTGCCAAAAATAAGCAGTTATGTTTGTTGGTTTTTAAAATTAAGTTCTTTGGTTTAATCTTTTTTTTTTGTTATTTGGGATTAAATGGGACTATATGCTTTGATTTATCTCTAAAGACTTGTAATATCATGGGACATTATTGACCTTCTCTTGATTAGATTGATCTCCGAGATGACCCCAAAACTTTAGCAAGACTGAATGATATGAAAGAAAAACCTGTATGAGTGGAACAAGGACAGAAACTAGCAAAAGAGGTAATGGAACTGATACAGAATTTAAAAATAAGTGTGAAAGAAGCTAAGGTAATAAGAGAAGCGAGCATTTATTGTGTATTTACTGTACACCAGGCACTGTGTTGAGTGCTTCCCATGCAGTATTGCATTGAATCCTTACACTGACTCAGAGGCAGGGCTGACTAGTTCCTTATTTTACAGAAGAGAAACAGAGGCTTGGTGATGTCAGGTAACTTGTGCGATCCCTCAGCTAATAAAATGGCAGAGCTGGGTTTTGGTCAGGGCCTGGCTGCAGAGCCCAGGCTCTTAAGTGCTGTGCTGGCGGCAGTATCTTCCTAATTAGTCATAGGTAGAATGAGGCATTAGAAAAAGGTGCTGATCTTTAAGCCCTTTTTAATCATGTAAGGATTTTTTACTGTACCAAATCAGGCTGTCTTCGGTTAGGAGTAGGTCGGAATGTGGCCAAAGAGGACAGTTTAAATCTGCAGTGAAAAACAAAAAATTATGGCATGGTATGAAAAGGATTGAATTTTCTTCCAGTCCTTTTATTAAAAGATGGAAAATATTAGTATTCTAAAAAGTGTGTAAGTAGGATGTGCATAATACCTGTTAACTGGTAACTCTCCCTTGCCCCAAAGCTAGGCTTCCCTTTTTCTCCATTTGGCCATAACATTATTGGATTCTATTTTTCAGATATTGTGACTTTAATAGGGCTTTTGTGGGCACAGAATCTAATAAGGTCTTTTAAAATGTGCCATCAGGAAGTAGAAGCAAGAAGACTTTTTGGAGGACAGTTTTTCCTAAAGCAAAAGATAAACTAGCTTCACTAATAAATTGCTCTAAAAATTCTCTGTATTCAATTTTGTAATCTTGGGAGAGAGAAGGAATTTTTAAGTGTCATAAAGGTAAAAGTCATAAATGAAAATACTGATGACTGTGTAAAAATTTAATAAATTAAATACCAGAAATAGAATTAAAAGTCATATAACAAAGTTGACATGTATGGCAGGAAAACGGTTTCATATCCTTAGGATATAGGAACCCCTTGCATATGAATTAGTAGGAAAAACAGACTAAGAACATCAATGGAAAATTCACCAAAAAATGCAGATTACCATTGAAGATAAGAATATGTTCAAACTTAGTAGTCAAATGTAAGTTCAGTTTCCACCTATAAAACTGGCAAAAAAAACAAGAGAAATTAGTTACAATAGCCACTATTTAAGCAAAGAAATGGGCACTCTATTGTACTGTTGGTTGCTGAGTAAAAGCAATCTTGGTAACATACAAAAGCCCTAAAGTCATGCATACTTTTGATCAAGCAATTCCATGGGTAGGAATTAATCCTAAGAAAATTGTTAGGGATGTGCTTAAAGAGATGGCTACACGGTTGCTGCATTGCTTATAATGACAAATAAAAACCCAACCATCTATCTATTAAAATTTTATACTAATATATCTATTAAGATGTTCATATTTATATGTAGCATAAGAAAAAAAGTGGCTACAAAATGATACAATCCCATTTCTAGGCACGTCAGCAATACTGGGCATAGTTGGTTCCTTCTTGACACACTCTTTTGGCTTCCTGAAACACCCTGTCTTGGTTTTTCTCCCCTCATTGGCCTCTCCCCCACTTCATCTCCCTGCCTCTGAATACTGGAGGGCCCACGGCCCAGCATCCAGCTTCTTGGACATCTTTTCTATCCACACTCAGAGCTCTCTAGGTGAGCTTGTCAGTCTTGTGGTTTGAACGATCTATTACTGGATTCCCAAATTTCTATCTCCAGGCCGGCCTCTTCCCTAAATTCTAAACTTGGTTATCCAGCCGGTCACTCGACAAGTCCATCTGTGTTAGACTAAGCATCTCAAAATTAACACTCCAAAACAGGATTCCTAATTTTATCCTCCAAGCCTGTCCTCCCAGTTACTCAGGCCAAAAGTCACACTTGACCTTGCTCTTTCTCTACAGCCCACCGTACACCAAAACACTTTTACCTTCAGAATACACCCAGAATCCAAACACTCCTTACCCTCCCTCCTCTGTCAGTTGGGTTCAGGCCTCCTCTGTCTCTGATGACTGGAACAGCTTCTAACTCATCTGTCTGCTTCATGTCAGTCTGTTCTCAACACAGCAGCCTGAGTCTTTTAAAATATAAGCTTGATCAGGTTACTGCTCTGTTCAGAATCTTCCAGTGGTTCCCCAGCTCACTCAGAATACCGGCCAGTCCTTACCATGGCTATAGAGGCCCCTGCTGCCTCTGCAACTCATTGTACTCTAGGCACATTGGCCTCTTTGCCATTCCTCCAGATTTTTCTACCTCTGGACCTGTGTACTTGCCTCCCTGTGCCTGGACTCTTCTTCCCTGTGGAACATTATTCATTTTTTCACTCCTTTCAGGTCCCTGCTCAAATATCACTTTCTCAATGAGACCTGAACTTGTCCCCACTATGTCCCTCCCCTAATTTTCTCCAGACCACATACTACCATCTGACCTTCTGCCTCTGCATTTGCTAGTTCATGGTCTTTTCCCTCTAAAATGCAAGCTTCGTAAGAGTACAGATTTGAGTTCCTTGGTGCATTCTCTCATTTGCTAAATGAGAATGCTCAGTAAATTTTCAATGAATGAATAGGTCCTCTCAGAGCAGAGGCCAAAGTCCTTATAGTGGCCTTGAGGTTACCTCACTGACTCATCTCTTGCCACTCCTTCCCGCTTTCTGGACACTTGGGCTTCTTTACCATTTCCTGAACACTCCAGGCCTGCCAGGGCTTTGCCCCTGTGGCTCCGTCTGCCTGGAAACTCCCCCTAGGTTTCCCTCACTGCTCACACTTCACCTGGTTGAGTTTTCCACCACCACTGCCCCCTGCACTCTCCATCTCCCTCTTTCCGCCTGCTTTTTCTCCAGAGCCAGTACCACCATCAGCTTTATTATTTTCTTCTTTCGTGTGCCTCTCCCAGTAGAACTTAAGCAAATGAGAGCAGCACGCAGCAGTGACTTTGCTCTTCTGTTCACTTCATTGACATTATCCACCAGCACCAAAAACAGTGCTTGGCCTATAGTAGGTACCTAGTAAATATTCCAGGGATGAAATTTCTCATAGAAAAAGTCTGAAAGGATGTATACTAGTATTTTAACAGTTAGCTATCTCTGGGTATTATAAATGTGGATGATGACTTCATGCTTTTTGCAGTTGTATTTTATAATTTTCCTTATAATGGTATTTTGTTACACCAATTGTGTAAAAAAAAGATTTTATATATTTGTAATTTTTTTCTCCCTCTCAGATAGGAGCATGCTGCTATGTGGAATGTTCAGCTTTAACCCAGAAGGGATTGAAGACTGTTTCTGATGAGGCTATCATAGTCATTTTAACTCCAAAGAAACACACAGTAAAAAAAAGAATAGGATCAAGATGTATAAACTGTTGTTTGATTACGTGAGACGTCTTCCGTGGCCAAGGAACTGTCCGTTTCTCTCAGAAAGCATATGAAATGCCATAGCTACACTCAGACCTCTGAGAATGAAGCAGTTTAAAATTTGAAAGAAAAAAATCCCACAACCCTGTCCTCAGAATTCTGTCAAGTTCACTAAGAATGTTTCTTAAAGGTACAAGAGCTGCAAACAGCATCTGAAGCCACAATCTATTATAAATACTTTATTTCAACTAGAAGGTACAATCTCTCAGGGGTTTCATAGTTTAAAAAGCTACAATCACATCATGCTGTAACTACATAAAAAACAGTGCTGTGAATGGAACTGTCTGGCTTAGACCATATGCATTTCTGCACAGTCTTTATGGAATCTGCACAAAGAAATATCTTCTCCCTTTGCTTCAATTAATTGTTCTTGTATGTAAGTTGCTTCCTATTCCAGTATATCCAGAGTGGCGAAATAATAAGGCCAGCCATGTAGCCAAAGGTCGCTCCGAGTGTACAGGAGATGGGCCATACCTGAGGAGAGAATGTATGAGATCAGAAAGAACAGATGTTTTATTACCACCTGAGCACAAGTTAAGTGTAACCTAAACATTTCTATATTAAAGCCTAATGTGCTTTCTTAAAGAATGCCAAAAGTGTAATAAGGTCATAACTGCATTTATCATGAACACTAAAAATGTACACATTTTAGTTAATGTGCATTTAACTGTAACAACGCTTCTGGCGATTGTAGATTTAGTTTGATGCTCCCCAAACTGCATGAGACACATGCTAAAATTACAAATTAAAATTTTGGATCAGACTTTGCCACAATCCTGGACTCAATTTAGCTCTCTGAACTAGTTGGTAATTTTGTTTCTTCATTTCCACATTGGCTTGTATATCAAATGAAATGATAAATGGGTATGCTGACCAAATCACAAGAAACTAAATCGTGTTAAAGAGAAAGACCTAGAATTCAAGTGTTTTACATGGAATTTATAACAAGGCAACTGCTTCCATAATAAAACTGATGTTACCTTTCAGATGTAGATTTTGGAACCACTGAAGTTATAGAACTACAACTTATATATACACCAGGAGTGTAAGTTAAATGAAATACTGGCTTCTAAATACCTATTTTCTCCAGCCATGTTACATTTCACAATATTATATCAAGCCAGAAGTAATGTTGATTTATTTCATCCACAAGCAGTGCACGTTGGTCCCTCGGGAAAAGGCTCTGCTTTAAAAACTGTTTTGTTCATCTGTGAAGTTTATTTGGTGCACTGGAGCCATTTCTAATCTTTCTCTGGGGAAACAGGCCATAGAACTGTGTTAGAGGTGAACCATCTTAATTTCTAGTTCTGTTAGCTAATGAAGCTTCTTTGTTTCGTCTGCTGTGTATCTGCCTTATTCCAAATGCCATGCAACAGACAATAGTGTTAGAAAAGTTTCAGTGTGAACAAACTAATGCAATTCAAAGAAGCATAATCTAACCCACAGTTCTTTTTCCCAGACTTTCCTGTATTTAAACTTGCTGTTGCCTAAATTATGATTTCTTTATGTCCTTGGTAAATTTGTTAATTTTCTTGGCCTGAGCTTATCGCTATCTTATTGCACAGATTGGGAAATGGAACACTAAACTTTTATACTTGAAAATGACAGCCTTAATTGCTCATATCAGTCACAAATCTAGGATGTACTGTCTTGTGTGTGAGCTTCTTTGTAGAGATTTTTAAAAATACAAGCATCATCTTCCCCATTGAAGAGTGGAGAGTCTACTGGATAACTAGTCAGGAACTTTCTCTCTGAACTGGACAGTGGATGTTTTCCTTCTCCCAAGAAGTGATGGTTCACATTAAGTACCATGGCCTTATGTATGCTCAAATGGAATCTTATGTAACTTTCTCATTTAACTTTTGGTCTACTTTTAGATAGACTTGAAAGGAATTGTATAAATCAATTAATATATTAGCTAAGTTGTTCAACACTTGGTATAAAGGAATTAAGACAGTAAAGTGTTATACATTTCCACCTTGCCTTTGGGGAGTTTTCCCTCAAATTCACATCTCTGAAATTCTTCACACTTGGTTTACTAGCCGATGAAAGTTAAAATCTAGAATTTGTCCGAAGAGAAATAGACTAAGAATCTGGTAACAAACTCCGGTGTCACATACCTCAGTTTCCTCATCTATAAATATGGGAAGTAGAACAGATGATCTCCAGCATCTCTCCCATTTATTAACTCTTATGATTCTCTTCTTTCTTACTCACAGTAATCATTGTTGGACATTACCTTTTCAGCTTCGCATTCTTCAGATGGTAAAAATCCTGTATATATATTATTATGAACTCTAAGCAAAGATGATTGTATTGCCTGAACCTGAGGTGCCTTAGGTACTCTATTGACCTTGATGGGGTTTGGAGTTTCCCATTGCTTAGTAAGAGCCTTTTCAGTGCTTTAATTCTTTAGTATTTCTTTTTGCACTCAATCCTTCCTGCCACTTTAAAAACCAAAGATTTCTTATTCATAAGCAGATTGTAGAAAACTGCCTTATTTGTAGCGTGTCTTCATTAAAGACCTAAGTTTCAAGAGAAATTCAGATGAATCACTGGAACAACTAGTTCAAAGTAGTAAAATATCTGGGAAATAAAGTACTTCAAAAACATCAACATGAATTTTCATAGTGAATGCAAATACATTGCTTCAAATAAAGTCATGAATGAATGAACCTAAAAGAAAACTTACAGCTAGTATTTTCTGCATATAGAAGTTCTTAAAAATAATTTTAGGGGCTCCCTGAAAGCTTATTTAATACTTTGCTAACTTACACTGTCTCTAAAGGCACATTTTAGGTTAGCCCATGTTGAATTATCTTAGTTACTTTAGGCATTGCTTCCATTTGATTTTTAATTATTAAGTACCAAATCAAGTACTGGTTTGCTGGCTATTGTTTTTTAAGTGATTGTTACTTTAACAGCATTCCATCTTAACACATGGGGTTACAAATAAAATAATATGCATAGTTTACTATTTATATAAAGCACTGAACTTCTTACCTTAGTAGTTTTTATTTAAAACCCAGTGTAAACATTTGGGATAATACTCATTCCTCTGTTTGTAATGCTGTGAGTCTATCCATCACTGGCCAAGTGCAAGTACCTGCACTTCATTCAAGTGTGCATTGTCAAAGTGTAAGGAGAAAAATAATCCCAGCCAAATTCCAATTTGGTTACTAAATTTTTCCCAAATCACTTTGTAATTTCAGTATGACTCTTTGTTTCCAATACATACATATACATCACACACATTCTTTAAACAGCTACCATACTTCACCTTCAATGGAATGCCAAAAATGAAATAAATATTGGCTAAAAAGTTTTGTCTAATGAGGGGTTAAGGCTTGGAACACTTGCTGTTATTCAAGGTCTCAAGAAATCCACGCTATCAGCAAATTAAAATGTTGAACTGGCTTTGAAGACTGTTTGCTAGTGATGGGTCGGACTTTCCAGCTTGGTTTTCCTGAAATAAGTAGTCCTTAATCATAACAGTCATTTTTGAAAAAGAGGGTTTCTTCATATGAAGGCAACTTTCCTGATCTTCGTAGACTAAGATGGGAATGGCAAAAGCAGCAGCTGAAAGGAGCTGAGGGAGGTTGCCCACTAATAACCTTTCCTCCAGCAGTTTCCTACTAACCTTCTTATAATTCCATAAACAAATTAAAACTACACCATGGCAACAGAATTCATAATGATTTGTCAAATAGTCCTGGCTTAATCACATATTGTCATAATTAGATCTTGAAGTTTTCCATTTTTAAATGATTTACTTGTCTCACATAGAGATGCCCCTATTTAACATTCTTCATGTCACAAGTAACATTAAAAACAACATGGTGTTATCTATTGAACAGACAATTCACTGCATTGCTGCAACACTTCTCCAAATTATTATAATCTGAGACAGCTATATATAATTATCTTGTTTTTAAGGAAAATAGAAAATTCAAAACAAAAACATTCCTGTAAAGAAAGTAATCCACAAGCATTTGCCACCAAAATGAACATCTTTTTATCCAGTTTTTTATAAATTAAAAAAAAATTTTTTAAGCACTAAATAAAAATGAAAAACCCTGTTGGGTAATGAAAGATAGTAAAATCCAAGTGGGTAAAATTATTAAGATTACTGTTACAAAGAAAAACCTATTTTAAAAAATGAGTAGCTATACCATGTGAACAAAGTATCTTGCTTAGAGTACTACTATTATCTCTCTAAATCAAATGACTCCTTATTATAATGTATTTCTCATTATTTAAAAAAGATCAATGTTCTCTTAAAATAATCAGCATTAAGCAAGGCTTAGAATTATAGGGCCTGGGTACACAGTACCAGCAATTAAGTTATTTTTCCTTCAGAAATAAAACAATTGCACCCTAATAAGCTAAAAAACAACTTCTTAATAAGAAATATACAGATATAATTTTATATGTTTTCTGTTAAAGAAATCAATGTAATTGCTGGTTGAAAGACATTTCAATATTATACAAACTAATTTCTACCTGAAGACTACCTGCTCTCTTCTGACCAGGCATTACTATAGTCTGCTTATGTTTTAGGTAAGAAAATGTTCTGGTACAGTTATGTAGTGTTTGAGTATTTTTCAAAGTATGTTGTAAGTATTACAGAATAGTGATTAACAACACTGATTTTTGCATTAGATTGGACTTGAGTCTTGACTGCCATTACTTAAATTTGTGAGCTTGGGCAAGTCACCTTACCTTTTTATGTTTTGGCTTCTCATCTGCAAAATGATCATAAAACTCACCTCACAGGGTTGCTGCAATGATTAAATGAGGTAAGGCACTATGCAGTATATATAACCATACCTATAACAGTATCTGACACATAGTACAAGTGACCAATGCATGCTGGCTATAATTGATACTAATCTTTTAGTCCATATTCCAAACGGACACATATAGAATAAGTTGTCATAATCTAGAACACCCATCATTCCCCAAATGCACCATCTCTAATGCTGATTCTATTAAAAATTCTGCCAGAATTTTAAGTACTTACAAAATATTTTTAAAAACCTACATCTAACATAATTCATGGTTCCTTGTCAAACATGACCCATATATTTTATATGTGTAATATATATGTGTGTGTGTGTGTGTGTGTGTGTGTGTGTGTGTGTGTGTGTGTGTGATATACATATAATGTAATTGCCAGGCATTCACAAACCTCAAGCCCATCTATGGACTTCTGGTTAAGAATCCCCATTCTTCATTACTCTAGCCTAACAAATATATTAACTGTTCTAGTTGGCCAAACAAATATGTTGACCCTTTATATATTTTGGCTTCAGAGTCTTAACGACCAGTTTTAATGATGGCATTTATCTGTCGTTATGTGACTTGAGAGTAAACAGCTTAAATATATTTGCTTAATTATAATATGCACAATATTTGTTTCTTTAATACATATTAAGTACAAATAGATTTTTAACGTTAATGTGTCACTAAAATGATACCCGCAAGTTTTTGATACTCCATATAATGGCTAATTTGGTATGTCACTGACTATGGCAGTTTATAATCTCCTGCAGGTTTCCTAAAATGATCAGGTATTTGAAATTAGATAATTTTTAAGAAAAAATTAGTTTAAAATATCAGCAAAATGTTTTAAAATTATACAAAAACATTAGGCTGCCTTTTAAAGTACTTCATATATTGCTTGGGAGCTTTATTTTGCTTTTCTGAGAAGCAGCCTGGACAGTGGAGTGAGAATTATCTGAATTGCAGGACCAGGTCAGCCACTTACTGGCCAGGTCATTTAACATCTGAGCTTCAGTTTACCAATGTGCAAAATTTAATATTATCTCTTGTCCTAAAAACATGGGCCTATTACTGTATTTTAAAATTTGTCATGAAAGCTGTAAAGTACCATGCATCACTATCATTTTCTCTATTGTGTGTTTTAACTTGAAAAAATTATATGGTCACTAATATAAGTATTTCTTAGGTAGGTGACACTGCTAGGTAATAATTAGAACCAGCAGTTTAGAACAAATAAAATAGTTAATGAGCAATGTTATACTGTGCTGAAGGAACTATTCCCTTGCTCTTGTAATATAATCATCTTTCATACAACCTTCACATGAAATATCTGGAAAGTATAAAGCTTACAAGAAAACTCCCAAGAGCCATCTAACACATTGCATTATATTAACCATACGTAGCCTCGATTTAGAAACAGAAGAGTGATTCCTGCTCCTAGCTGTTGTGTTTCAGAAATTTTAAGAAGCGTTAAGTACAGTGGTTTTAGACATGTGTGTCATTTTTAAGAGTCTCATATGAATGATTCCACTGATTCAAAACTATTTATTGAGCCCCTAATATAAAGCAAGCAATAATGTGCAAACTAAGATTATTTAATTTTGGATAAATTTTAATAACAAATTCTTAGAAATATGTGCTGCAATGTAATTATAATTTTTTGGAAAGGTATGTGCCATCACAGATACCTTGAGGCAACTGACCTGTCTGCCAATCAGAACATGTAGAAATGCTTAGAACAACTCACAACCATTAGGATTACTGGCTTTCAGATCAAAAAGAAAGATAAAACCCAGGCAGTTCTAGATTTCTCACAAGCTACTTTTTAATATGTTCGTTTTATTATGCTTATCACAAATTTGCATTTGCATGACAAACTGAACTCATCTTTCAAAGCCTGCTGACACTTTATTAGTTTTAAATGATCATTTATATTTTTCTTTGAATTTGGTTGCAAGAGATATGATTTCCAGATATTCTTAAAGCAAATGCTATTGTCTGATATAGGAATACATGTACAGATGAATCTACTCATCTGGAAACATTTCTCTAGTTGTAAATCTGCACTAATTGTGTGTATTCTACCACTTTCCTATGACGAAGAGTACACATTTAGGAAGAGCTATCTATTTGTGGTGTGTAATCTGTCTGGAACTTCTTGTCAAAGTGACACTAAAAGCTCCATGCCAAGATCATTTGCATTTAACCTGGCCAGCACTATTCTCTCTCACATGAAAGTCTCACTAGCAAAGCATTGTCACATGACTACCCTACAATAAACCCACCTTTTACATCTAAAATAATTTTCTGTCAGTTAAATATTGTGGGTTTTTTTTTCCATACTCAAAACATATAAATCATATTTATATAAATTGGTATTTTACTGTGGACTGTCTATAACACTGTAATACCTTTGGTAAAAAATACCAATTAACCTAAAAACATGCAACTTTTCTAGTAAATCCATAACCTTAGTTTCATCCCTCATTCTAGCATTATTTGCAGTAATTCATTTGGTTATAATCCCTATGATCTCTAGCTTCAATGAATGAATTATCTGTGGCATCTGTGACTTTAGAAAATGAATATATGTTCACAGACAATGAATTTTTTAACCTGCCAAAACCAGAGAAAAAAAAGGATTTTAAAATTTAACAGTCTCATTTTTTCTGGTATCTGATGGAAAAAGGTACAAATATTTTTAAGCAACTTTAAATTGTTTTAAAGACAATTTGAATCAACTTTGGGTTTTAACTTTATAAGAAATAAACATGCTCAGAAAAGATTTTATTATTTAGTTTAATTCCATTTTTGGAAACATTGAAGTCCAGAATTCAAAGGCATTTGTGGGTTTTCTAGGCACAAAAGTCTTGGAATTAGCTTCATATACTCTCGTACAAATATATTAAATTTCATGGTCTAAAGTATGTACAAGCAGCAGAGTGGTCAGGGCATTTAAATGAAATGCTTATGTGGGGAAAGAAATGCAATATAGTATCTACTCAAGCTTTTCCAAAGAGATCTAAATAACGGCCATTTTTTTTAAAAAAAGCTGTTTCAGAGTCTCTAGCAATGAACAAAATAAAGTTCGGATCCTGTCTTCCTCTTATAAGCCAAGTAATGTTCAGCAAGATGTGTACTCCTCTCCCCACACTTGGATTTTCTTATGTGTAAAAAACACTGATCTGGCACTTCAATTGTCAGGATAAAGGTACTTATGTGACAGTGGCACACCCCATGCCTGGTACACACAAAGATCTACAAATGTTACATTTTCTTTCTACTGCTATCTCAAATGTCAGACAGGACTGGAAGTTATGTGAAATTCAAATACCCTAAATACCTAAATACCAGAGAAAAATGGATAAACAGTTCATTCTACCAAATGACAGGCTGCCAGCAGAATGAATAAAATAACAAACTGAGACACTTAACACTCCCTAACACTTTGAGAACTGATAATGGAATTTGCATTTTTTGGGAATGCTAAACTGCTTTTGTAAGTCATAAAGGCCTGTAACATTAAGCAGTAACTATGTGTCAGGTTCTGAACTAAATATTTTATGAGGATTATATTATTTAATCCTCACTAGCAAGTGGCAGAGCCAAGATTTGAACCCAGTAATCTGATCTAGAACGTTTAATTATGTTACCTGTTACCTACTAATAAAACGTGGGTTTAAAAACTTCACAGCAAATATCCTTTGCTCAGAATAACCAACATTTTTTTAACTTCTCATTAATTTCTTTTATAACATGAAATACTAGCTCATTTTTCTAAAGGATTAAAACATTTTCTAGATGAAAGCTCTTGATGATCTATTCTACAAAATATTTACATTCTGTTAAATCTGAATCTATATCTAAATTATTGTTATAAATTCCAGTCCTATGTAGTATTTAAGTATACTTACATAAAATATGTGCTTTGTACACACTAAGAACTCAACAAATATGTACTGAATAGTTACTTAGTGACACAGATAAAGCATCAAATTGTAATATACAAAAGTTTTCCACAAAGTATTTTGTCAGTAACTATAACTATAAACTTTCTCTGGGAGTGAAGAAGACTGTCTAGGTTCTGGGTAATTTAAATGTTTACTTTCTTGCTATATTGAAAGGCAAATAATTAAGGCAGGGGAGAAAGGCAAAATCACTTTAAAAAATATTTTTTTAAAAAAAACAACAAAGATGACCAACAATGTAGTGGATAGCAACCTTACCATATTCTTTTAAATCAAATCCTCCTGTTGCCTCTTACAAAGGGAAAGCTTCCTCCAACTATAAAGATGCCTAGTATCTTCTGTCACTTGTCATTACTTCAAACTATTTAAAATTCACATCAGTCTGTAAAAAAGCTTTTTCACTGAGTACATATTTTCAATGGGTCTTTCTGGTCATTTGTTGATGAAAGTATTTAAAAAATATAAATGTGCTTGAAATTGCTCAATACAGACCCCGACATTATTATTATAATCTTATGTTTGGCCTCTGAAACTGTATACAAAAAACTATATACAAAGTTAGATTTGAGTTCAAAGTAAAGAAAATCGAACTAAAACATGTAAAAGTTTTTGTGGGGTTGTGTGTGTGGTTTTAAAGAAGGTATACTTGCTTAACCAGACATTCTTCTTTCTCTGACTAGGAAATAAATAAAACCAGATAACAATCCAGAAAAGCTTGCTTTACCACAGATGTATCAAATCTATATTGGGCTACATGGAGCAAAGAAGTAAAATCTCCTAATACATGTTACATTTTAGATAATAAAGTGTATACAAAATTTCTCATGAAATTCTGCTCTAGAAAAATCTCAATTTTTGAGGTAATGCCATATTCCTTTTTCTAGCTTATTATTTCTCAGGCAGATTCTGTCAGCACCAAGAGCCATGCTGAGTACTTATTTTGTGTAGTTACACTTAAGAATAACAAAACAAAACACTTTGCTGAAAATAAAAAGTAAAAAAAAAGAAACTCATCACTTCTCTAGTTTATCAGTCAATAACTGCTAGAAGGGAGAGGAGCAGGCAATTATTGCATGAACAAAAGATAATTATACCTCAATTCTATCATTCCACTATATACGTATCATAATTTTAAAAGATTATAGTGAATAAGTGGGTCATTAACTTGCAACACTCTAAAACAATCCAACAGTAAAGGTAAGTAAACAACCAGTAATATTTCAGTTGAATGAAACATTCTTAATGAAGCCAACAATGGTTACAGATTCAAATTAGCTAGCTAGAAAATCTTTTTTAAAAGTCATTAATTCAAATAGAAACTTTACATTAATTTTAAAAGCCTGATACCATGGATTTGGATCCAGCTTACCTCTTATAAAACAACCACTGAGGTACAAAAATGAGAGTCAGTAGCCAAAAGCCTGAACAATCCAAAATGGATAACTGGACTACGAATAACATACATATTTTCTATGCAAACCTACATCAAGATTTTACAAAAACATCTACTACTCATAATTCAGTTTCTGTTTCTGCATAGTCTTATGAACAGAAGATTTAAATGTGTAAGATACCAAATTTTCACATCCTTCAATATTCCATCTACATGCAAACTGACATGCTACTTGCACATTACCATGCCAACTCATTAATGCTGATGGCCCATGATGCTTTATATATTCTATATATTCTATATTATTATGTTATATACATCAATATTTTGTATTTAGATTTAATTGTATGAATCTAAAAGTAATTATTCTACTACAGATTAAAACACAATTTTCTATTTATACTTTTCAATGATTTTGATTGCCCTTCTCCAATTTAGAAATCACTGACACTTGAGTGAAATTAAGTTTCATAATAAGATTGTAACTTGAGTGCAAATGAGTCCCCATTTCCCAGTGATCGCTGAAATGGTCAAGGAAGTATAAAGAAAACCTTTATTAATGAAGTACTAAAACCTTGGAAAAGATATCAGTGACACTACACACCCCAAACCTCCAGGGATTTCTATAACACAAAGAACCAATATAGGGAAGGCCAAACCCACCAGACTTACTGAATATATAAGAACAACTTGTCTGGGAGAGAACATCTAACAGAAAGCATAAAGAATGGATTTATGTAGGCAGTTAAGTGTAAGACATATAATCCAGACCCCTCAAGGACCTTTGGAAAGTGAAATACAAGCTAAGCTTTAATCTGTCATTCAATACCTAGAAATTACAACTAAAGGAAAAAATGAATGAATATGCAAAAGTATGTTTTAGCATAGTAATACCATAATAAGAATAAATAATTGTGAAACTGTAAACAATCTCAATGTCCATTCATAAGAAACTGATATATGCTTTTACCCAACTAATGGAATATTACATATATGTAAGTTTTCACTGAATGAGTACAATATATGGCTAAAGGGGGGGAAAATGCAGATTGAAATTAACATATATAAATAGTTACACACATGGAGAGAGAGCTGCAAAAATTATCACCAAAATACAAATAGGGGTTGCCTCTGGTGGTTGGAGATCTGGAAATTTTTACTTTTTTCTTCATAATTATTAATATTGTTTGAATTTTCTAAAATGTATACTGTCTTTGCAATCAGAAAAAAAACTATCTTCATGTGGGAAAAAAAGTGTATTTTTTTACTACCACAATTCCATTTGGGAGAAATTAAGGAAATAATAGGAAAAATCCATGGAGATAAAGATTCAAAGAAATTTATCAAAGTACTATTTATAATAGTAAAATATTGGTAATAACCTAAATGATCAATAGTAAATTTGTTAAATTTTGGATAATTATATAATGGCATACTACAAAGCCATTAAAAACTAAGGCAAAGATATATCCACTGGTAGCTCAGTGACCTTGGAAATATTAAATGTCCTCTAGGTATCAGTTTATCTGTAAAAAGGGGATAAAAACCCTTACCTTAGTGCTCTACCTAGCTTATTAGCTGTATCCTATTGTGTTAGGAAACAAAACCCTGGTATTGATGAGCTTCCTCCATTATCATGTATCTCTGTTTCAAAACTTAATTTGGTATATGCTTTTAAAAAATACTTCAAGATCAACATTCAACTTGGCCATAAATCAAGTTAAGAAAATATGAATCTAAGACCACAAAGGCAATGAATATCAAAGTTGAAAATAAGGAATTCTTGCAACTTCTAGCCTATCTTTAAAAAAATTCCTATACAGATTCACAATTAAGCCTGTTCATTCACCTATACATGTAGAAAAAAGAGTTCTGGAAGGTAGAACCAGGCTGATCTGGGTGCCTGTGGCACTGAGACGGGCCTCAATAAGAAGTTGCCTAGATTACAGTGATAGAGAAAATTGGCATCCTTACTTAACTGATGCTAGTATTTACATGTACACACTAGTTAGCTTCATTGGTTTTACTATCATTGTACAAATATTTATTTTGCTGCTTTAAGTAGCAGAAACCAACCTGCCATGGTCTTTCCCAATCAAGTGGAATAGGGAAGGCTCCAAGCCATGATCCTACAAAACTAGAAATTGTAGTGATCTGGAGACTGTTCTCCCAAACAGATGTGACTCTGTAAAACATAAATATGTAAGTCATTGGTAGTATATATATCTTAGCTGCTGGAGATTCAAAATTAACAGTATACACATATATTCTATTCACTAAAAAAAGCATCTCAAATTGACAAATATTTACTATGAACTATTAACAATTGGTAGGAAGATATGTTTTTCAGCTGGAAAGGTATTATAAGTGCATATTAAAGTCAAACAATATGAAAGAGCATCTGCAATGAAATCTAAGTCTTCCTCCCACCCTTATCATCAACTCTATCTCCTTTCTCCAGAAGCAACTGCTATTACCAAATTATTACGTATCCTTCTAGAAAATTTTATGCATGCACAAACACAATTTTTTAGAATATGTGTATTTGTATAGATGCACATGCACACATACCTTAAAAAAAAAACTCAAATGCATCGTTATAGACCCAGTTGTTTTGTTTTCCCTTGTAAACAGCTATACCAGTATTCAACTGAATGTATGGTTTCCAGTGTTAACAGCTATAGTAGTATTCTATTGTGCTATTCCATAGTATTCCATTGCATGAAAGGAATGTCATTTATTTGACTAGTCTTTTTTATGGCACATTTCATTTAAACAAACTAGCTCTATTTACTTGGTAAGGAAGGAGTAGAGAAAGAGAACAAAATATTTCAAATAAGCTAATGATTTTGCCTACCATTCTTATTTATTAAGTGCATATTTTAAAATTTAATGGTGGGAAGACATAATTCTGCCATTCTCTTAGTAGGTCTTGGTTTCAGCCTCCCCTCATAGTGTGACCACTTAGCTGCGTGGGACGTGAGTCTGGTTACATTAGATACATGCATTAATTAACTTCACAATGCATTAAGTAGGGTACAAATACTCAATTGTTTGAAATGCAGGGCTGAGTTATTATCAAGTTTATGAAAAGCAGTTTCTTTTAGCTGGTGTGGAAAAAAGGGAAAACATTTGTTTTGTTAGATGATTTCTTTCATTAGAAACAGACCAATTATTACACTCAAATTAAAATAGTCCTCAATGACAAGTCAGTTTGTAAACCAATCCCTCTATCACCTGTCCATCTCATTAAGCCCCTACCCCACCTATACAAGATAAGAACTTTAGCTTGTTTCTACTGAAAATTGCTGATGGAAGAAGGTGGGAGGCAATCACTGTATAGGCAAATTTGTGACTTGCTGGGTTTTATTGTTTTTTTTTAATTTTATATAACATCTAAAAAGCAAGTCAATTTCTTCAAATAGCATTCAACAGAACAGAGATCTGTTCCAATCTTGGAGGGGGAAAAAAACTGATGAATTGAGCATAAATAGAGAACTGTACTGTTCAGGGAATTTAAAGAATTAGTTTTTGACTGCATTTGGTTGAAAAATGTTGACTAGCTTTCACTTAACATGCAACTCATCAATGTTGCGATACATAAAGTGATGAGCCTAGAGACATAAAGTTTGGTAGAGATTGAGAATAGAGTTCACTTTCTGCTAATAAGAGTTTACTTCTTCTATTTTTAGGAGAGGAGAAGGTTCAGTAGGATTTGCTAGGATGCATACCATTTGTTCTTGAAGAACAGGAAAAAGAGCTGCACTGCAGGTGCAAAGAACATAGTAAAACTGGTTGAGACTGAGTTGGAAAGATGGGAAACGAGGCTGGAAAAGTAGGTTAGAGTTAACAGGATTTAAAAAATAGCAGCTTATTGAGTACTTTAGAAAACCCTTTTCTAGCCATACAATTCATTCATTTACAGTGTACAATTCAATGTTTTTTAGTATATTTATAGAGTTGTGCAACCATCACCCCAAAATGAAACCCTTTATCCATTAGCAGCGACTCCCTATGACATGACCCCTTCCCTCTTGCCCTGGGCAACCACTAATCCACTTTCTGTCTCTGTGAACTTGCCTATGCTGAATATTTCATATAAATAGAATCATACAATGCATGATCTTTTGCAACTAGTTTCTTTCACTTAGCACAATGTTTTCAAGATTCATCTATTTTGTAGCATGTAAAAATACTTCATTCTTTTTTATTTCAAAGTATTTTGTTGTAATGGATATACCCCATTTTATTTTTCCCATAAACCCACAGTGGATGGATATTTTGAGTTGTCTCAAATTTTTGACTACTGTGCATAGTGCTACTCTAAACATTCATGTACAAGCTTTCTGAGGATGTATATTCTCATTTTTTCTTGGGGATATACTAAGAAATAGAATGGCTGGTATGGCAACTATGTTTAACCTTCTAAGGAACTGCCGAACTGTTTTCCAAAGCAGCTGAGCCATTTTATATTCCCACCAACAGTATATGAGGGTTCCAATTTTTCCACATTCTTGCTAACACTTGTTTGATTATAGTTATCTTAGTAGGTGTCAAGTGGTATCTCATTGTAGTAGATTTAGGGTTGGGATTTTAGAAAAGCCTAAAAGTCAAACTAAAGAAGACACTGAAGATTTGAAATCAAGGCAGCAGTATTATCAGAGCTATAGTTTCAGTAAAATTTAGTACATACATGTCTGATCTAACTTATAAGCACCATGTTACTCAGGCTAAGGGGCAAGACCCATGTCTTCACATTTTTCATTCTTACAACACTTGGCCATCTTGTCAAAATAAAAAGTGCAAACATCCAAGAGGTCGTCCCCTATTTTGTTTCATGTATCGAAGAGTGTTTATGATCATGTATATAATAAATGTAAAAGAATGGATTCAAGACCTAGATTTAAAAAATGAAAAAATTCTGTTGCTCATCTTTTTAAAATTAAAATATATTTATCAAAATAATGTGTAAAAACCTTTTAAGTCAAAGATCACAATTACACTAATAATAATAATAATCCCTCCCTGCATCCCCTCCTCCCCACTCCGATTTCTGCTCTTGAGGCAGACACTTTGAACTCTTCACTGTCTATTCTATGCACCTCAAATTTTAAAGAACACATACATGTATAGATTTTTCAAGATTTAGTTACTTTCTGCTTTCTATAATGAGTTAGCACTTTTACCAACAAGCCTCCCATCCTCATACACATTTCTCTTATCCCCATTTCTGATGCTAACATCTCTTCCCCTCAGCTCAATCAATAGCAAACACAGTATCTAAATGATGATCATGAAAGTATTTATCACAGCTGAACCACATGTAAACCACTATTACATTTCCTTTCTTATAGTAAATTTTTAATTTTCTTTTGAAAGAACTGCCTCTTTTTTACTCTCCATTTGCCTATGTGCCTATCACTAAATCATTCTCCAATATTCCAAAGAAACTAAACATCGCCTGTAAATGCTTGTTTGTGCTCTGTTCTCCCTTTTACTGAGACACCTCACCTGCTCCAAACTGCACGAGGTGCTCCCGAGGCCCGAGTGCAGCTGCTGTCCTGAGTCCCCTACGGCAGTAGCCTGGGATTCTTTTGCTTCTCTCCGTACTTCTGGATCTCCTGTTTCCTAGATTCCAAGACTTCCTCCTTTTATTTTCCCTTTTTCTTTTTTTTTAAAACACCTCCTTCAATAGATTTTCCTGATAAAAGGGTATGTGGAAAATAGATTTTAGAGATGTTTAAAGTCTGAAAATTATTATAATTGTTGGAAATCATTTTGCCTCCCAATTTTGAAGGCACTGCTCCACTGTTTTGTTTCCCACCTGAGAAGTTCAGTCATTCTTGCTCCCAGTTTTCTGGGAGGACTGTTAACATGTTCCTGCCCACCAATGCTCTCTCTAGGAGATACTGCCCTCTCTGGGAGCCTTTAGAATTGTCTCTTTATTCCTGGTTATCTAAAATTTCAAAATGATGTGTTTGGGAGTGGGTGTCTTTCCATCCACTAGGCTGGAATTACACGGGCCTGCCTAACCTGAAATCTCTCAGGTCTTCTGGTTCTTGAAATTTTCTTTTATTCAAAAATTTGCTTTTTCTGCCCAGATCCCTTAAATATTTTCTATTTTTCTTCTTACTCTTTTGCCAAGAATACTATTGTTTTGAATTAGTGATTTCCTTACCTTTGAACTCATTTCCTGTATCTTTGCCTTTCTGCTTGACTAAGGGATCTTTTCAACTTTGTCTCTACTTCTGTTGAATTTCTTCCCACCATATTTTTAATTCCCAAGAGCCTTCTTATTCCCTAAATATTCCATTTGATTGCCTCCTGTTCATGTTTTATGGATGTAAAAAAGATACATTTTTTAAAGTTATCTTCTGGGCTTTATGTTGCTTGTTTCCACTGCTTCTTTTTTGTTGTTTTCATTTCCGCATTTCATTTTACAGGTTTTCCTTAAGTGTCTAGTGATGGTTCACTTCTCATTTTACTTAAAGTAAAACAATATATATGAAATGTCCAGAACAGGCAAATCTATGGAGACAGAAAAGTATTTTACTGGTTGCCTGGGATGGAGGGTGGGGATGTGGTGTGAGGTGGTAGGTGGGAAAGGGTGAGAATCGAGGATGACTGCTAATAGGCATAGCTTCATTTTGGGGTGATGAAATTTCCTAAAATTAGATTGTGGTGATGGTTACAAAGCTGTGTCTATACGAAATGCCACTGAATTTTACACTTTAAATGGGTGAGTTTTGTGGTATTAAGTTCTATCTCAATAAAGTTATGTTTTTTAAAAAAACAAAAAGCAAAATACAAACTAGTTGATTGTAAAAAATACAAACACAAATCATGTTCACTGTGCATGACTAGCAAGACTCAACTGGTGGGCTTCACTGTTACCAAGGGTCGAGTTGGAACCCTGCCTTCCAGAAAACCCCTAAGTGTCAGTATCTGTAGGTTGTTCTTTTGCACCATTATTCCCAGAAACTAATATTTCACTCTTCTGCTTAGATGGTATAAGCCTAGCTGCCAGTATTATCTTCCCTTCCCCCACTTCTAGTGTATAACTTTTATTGCTTATATTATTTTTATGGCATTTATATTCTGTTTTGTAACCCTAATTCATTCATTCAGTTATTTTCTTGCTATAGGGAACCCCCTGAATATGCAAACTGAATCATTCCTTCATTTGGGAAGACTGTCTTCTATCTTACCTTTGGATTATTTTTTGGTTTGTATTTTAGGGGCTAGTCTTAAAATGATCTCCTTTGTCTGTTCTCTATCATTCTTCTCTGATTGATTTATTCTTCCCAACTCCTTCCCTACCCATCATTCGATTAGCTCAAACCTTTCTTCCACAGTAGAACTTGATTTTCTAACTTGTCTATGTTTCTAATTTATGATCTGTAATGGTGTGGTTTAGATTTTCAATATATTTTGTTAATTATGCAATCTTATCCACTGCATTTGGTTTCATTATCTCACCTTTGAGTTTTTATTTTATTGAATTCATATCCTTAATAACATTTTCTATGCTAAATTGTGTGGAGTTTTTGTTTGCTTTTGGTCCTTGGGCAATATTTTCTTCCACAATGGATTGTCTTCTGTGTGCCTTTTTCTTCTTCTTCTGTAGTGTGCTTTTAGGACTGCCATGCCATTTCTTTTCATCTTGCTCTCATTTCACATGGGCGAATTGTCCAGATTATCTATTTGCTCAGATACAGTAAGTGAATTCTCTTTTAAGCTGTCTTCCCATCTTAACTGCCACCAGTATTTTTTCCTGCCTTGAAGATGCATTTTCAGGACTAGATGCTATTTTCTATCCAGTTTTCCATAACATGAGGCAGAAAAAGAGAATGGAGGCAGGGAGGCAGGGTAAGGGAAAGGCTATCCCTGAAATATTCAGCTGAAATTGGCAGAGCCCAGTAGGCAGCAGCCCTGGTAGAGCAATAAAAAGTAAACAGCCTTGACAGAGAATCAGGGAAACCAGCACTCTGTTCTGTTCATAGGGTGTGTGTGTGTGTGTGTGTGTGTGTGTGTGTGTGTGTGTGTG